GTAGAAGTCGGCTGCAAATCAGAGATCTATTAGTATTACATAAACCATATTTTAGTCACTCAACTTACCCACGTGCGAAGGCAATATATTCACCAGCAGCACCTTGATCGTATCATTCGTAATTAAGGCGTCGTCCTGCTTCTGCATCAGTTGCCGCTTCCAGCTGCCAATTGCTGTTGTCTTTAGTCAGGCAGATTAGAATTGAAATGCTCAAGCAACTTACTTGTAGTCCACTTTGGCTATAAATTCCGTCTGCCGTTCCATCAAATGAAAAATTCCCAGCGTTATGAAGATGAGCAGAAAGTGCGAATATTTTGCATTGAGATTAACATTCGTCGGAGGACTGCCGTCAAAGATATGATCAAATTCATAGACCACCAGCACCGTATAGGCGGCCGTGATGAGCACAGCGACAGTTGTCTTGACAACGAACGGAATGCGCGTGAACAGAAAGGCGGTGCCAATCAGTAGCGTAACGCAATTGGTCAGGATCTGAGAGAACGATTTTAAGATTCATTAAAAATACATATTTTCGTCTGACTTACCCAAGGGTGGAAGCATTGTATAAGTTCTTCATCTCTTTTTGGTCCACAGTCGAGCTGTAAAGTACATGCAAATCTCGTTAAGTAGGTAAATGTACGATTTATGCTATTCTACACTCGCGCCAACATTTGAAAATTGCATTTAATGCTGTTAGCTGACAGTTTATCGAACAGGGCTGTTAGCTTATTGTTGCAGCGTTGCCACCTAATCACTTAAATTTAAATTTCATTAAACCCACCACTTGCATGGCGGTCACAGCAATGCAGGAGACTACCACGAGCATGTAGACAGTGACGCGTATGCCAATGCTGCGCTGCATGAAATCGGACATTTTGTAGAGCATTCGACTGAGCTTATATTTCGGCAGCGACTGTTCCGTGTCGGAGAAGTACATAATCCAAAGTTTCTTATACCAGGAGATGATTAGCATTGCGGTAAGCACAGATATAGTGACGCCATCAATGATCCAGTAGTGATATTTGGGACTGCAAATATAGTAGAGTATTGAGTATGTTCCTATTTCCCATGCCCATGCTAGCTCCTTAACTCACTCTTTGCTGAGCAGCTGAATGGACAGTAGGCATATGTAGACAAACCAGGCCAGGACTATGCTGTACTTCAGCATGACATCCGGCTCTCGGATGTACTGTATCTCCCAGTTGCGTATGCGAAAGAGCAGGCAGAAGGAGCTAATGTTGCGTCTGAAGGTCTCCTCCTCGATTTCGTCTTGGGTGAGGTTTGTGGATCGTCTGCAAATCTTAGTGATCCTAGTGCAGGGAATTGGTGTAAGTCAAGTATACTCTATGTGGCTTAAAGGAAGTACTTACTGTATGCGACCGATGGGCATTTTGTCCAGCTCCCGACACATCTCCAGCTTGGCCTGGTTACGCACTTGATTGTACTGCTGCAGCGTCGAGTTGTACATGAAGTTGGACTTGCTGGCTTCGCTCAGCTTCTTGGCCTGGCGCTCACGCTGCACGCGACGCGGATCATGCATGGGGGCCTACAACTTTCGACATTGATTAATTGTGCAATTCGCCTGGACGAGGGGCTGCAGTGCGTCCATGGAGCAATACTCACGCGCAATGATTTGATGAGGAATGTGCGTATGTCGTGCTTCTGCAGCACTGGATCCTCGCGTGCCTTCTCCGTGCCATCCTCGTAGAAGTATTCGCCGTCCAGCAGCCGCAACGTCTGCTGACTCACATGCACACGTCCTGTGGCGCCGGTGGCCTCCAGTCGGTTGGCGATGTCCACATCCTTGGACCAGATGTCGAACTGCCATTTGGAAGCGCCAATGACGCCGGACAGCACGTCGCCGGAGTGAACGCCAATGCGCATATCAATATTAAGATTTCGCTTCTCCCTGGCAGACATAGAGGTTAGTAAGCGAGCCAGGTGCATGAGCTATCTCACCTAACATCGCGTATGTCCTTGATCATGCGCAGGCCCAGATCCACACAGCACTTGGCGTGATCCTCGTTGGGACTGGCCAAGCCCGCGACGCAGTAGTAGCAATCGCCCAAGAACTTGATGCGCAGCACGTTGTGTTCCTCACTGGCAATGTCGAAGCGCACGAAGAGATCATGCAGCGCCTCCACCAGCTTCTTCACATCCAACGTTGTGGTCAGGTGAGTGTAGTTCACCACATCCGCATAGAGAATGGTGACATCCTTGTGTGGTTCGATGAAGAGAGTGCTACGGATGAGAGGTATAGATATTGCAGCAGGATTATGGTGGGCTTTACACTTTGGACGACTCACCCATGATCTGGTTGACGCCAACGCCTCAAGGCTTGACTATTGTTGCTACAGCCATGATTAATGCCGGGTCGCTGATGATGTTGCTGCTTGGAGCGTTCAATGCGATTGCGCACATCCTCCTGTAGGCGATCGGCAATCTGGGCGGGCAGAATGCTCAGCAGCAAGCTGCGCTCCTGATCTCTCGCATAGCGCAGCAATAGATTCTCCTCCACATACTGACGCCGATCCAGGAAGGTGGTGCGCAGCGCAATATCCCGCATCAGTCGGAAGAAGATGCCCAAGAAATTGACGCAGCTCAAGTAGATGGCCTCGCTGTAAAGTGAGCTACAGAGGAGATATCTACCCAAAGAGCAGGGAGCTGAGACTTACTTGAATATGCTGTGCATTTGATTGGCCTCCTTGGCGGAGATGACAAAGCTATAGTTGATTATATAGCAGATGGTGACGGCGGTGCCCAAAATGAAGGGCTGCAGCACATGCGGAATGGGCATGAACATATAGATGGCATATAGAGTATATGCATCATAGATGGGATTAAGGATGTCATTGTTGCTGGTGGCATGATAGACATTCAGTCCAATGTCTGGAGAGCAGGGGGAAAACAATGAAAAATAAATAGTTGGTCTACCAGACTAGCCGCTATAGCTACCCATGAGCACCAAGATGGATACAGCCAGCCAGGAGGAGGCATAGACTAACCAGCCGTGTTTGCTGATCAGCTCGTTGCGAAAGTTGACCGAGAGTATTAGCCAAATGAGGACGCCCGTTACCAGATAGGTGATCATGTCCACATAGGCATAGGTCAGATCCGATGAGGTTAGCAGCACCAGGGCGTGCGTGCAGGTGACGAGCAGCTGGATAAAGATGAAAATGGACAAATAGCCAATCCGAAGGCGGCGCATATATAAATCATATGACTCCTCCAGTTCCAGATTGCGACATTTTCGCTAAATATAATCCAAGAGATTAGATGCCGCTTGAGATATATATGTACATATATACATATGTATGTATGTATGTAGTAGAGAATTCCTTAGCAGCTTACCACTAGATAAGACCACTCCCAGTTCCTTTCATTGAGCGTCGTCTGGACATGCTCATGATTGGAGCGAAACGAACTCGTTCGATTGCTGGCATTATATTGCGAATTCATACTGTCTGCACTTGTTGCTCTCGTTCAGGGCGTAAGCATTTTTACTTGCTGCAAATGACTTGGATGACTGAGTTCCAAGACTGCTTAGCTAAAAGATTAGGCTCCTGGGAGAACTACGCACTGGGGCCATAAACGAACGCACACACATTGATTCAGTCAGTCAGTCAGGCAGCCAGAGCCAGAGCTTATCAGAGCTAAGAGAGCGAGGTGAGCGTGAAGAGCGTACGAATAATTGTTTTTGTGATTATTTCGGATATCTTGGAGTATCGGATTCAAGTATTTGGTTTATTCCGCTCATACTAAAGCAATATTGTATATTTGAGAGTACTAACGCCAATCGAACTGTATCGCAATTCGCGAGCGCTGCGTGACACTGCGCCAGCAGCTAATTTAGCAATTTGTCTAATGTGTTGTTGATAGCGCCTAATGGTTTGTAAATCACAAACACTCGCCTATCAAGACATGCACAGTCTATTAAAAAAAAATTTGTAAGAAAACGTATTATCTCTGGCCCACTGGCCACAGCGAGCGATGCAATTGCTTCTTTCGCTTCTTTTCGTTGTTGTTGTTATTTTGTAATGTGCAATTTGTTTGGTTCGCGTATTGTAATTTATTGGTTAATGGCAAAACACTTGAAATAATTCGCACTTCACTTTGGTTGGCAATAAATACGATAATAATTAATAAAAAAATTAACACCACTTAAGCTCGTCGCGCTGCTACAACCCAATACAAAACGGACAGGTATCACAAATTACTCTTTGGCAAAGCTGATAAGCGTCGTCGTCGCCGTCGATTGGCAGAGACGGTTGCGGCTGCGGTTGCGGTTACGGCTATTGTACTGCTCAATGAGCTACGGCACACGCGTTACGGCTGGTCTCGATTCCTATGTGACACCTGAGCGCCGTCCAATACGCTTCAACTTCGGCGATCAACTGATGGCAAGTGTTTAGACGCATTGCTATCACACCTGTTGTCGGGTTTGAAGCGCTTATCGGTGTGAAGCATACGCCAAAATGCTTGACGCATATTCATAATATACTTGCTACTTAATTTGATTGATTGCTTTTCTATATAATTAATAGGGCAATACATTTTTAAAAATAACTCGCTAACATTTATTTATCTTCCACCCAGCCATAGCAAATATTTGAATGCAGAAAAGGCGCCAATATTTGATTTTATAACTCGATCAGGCAGCTCCGCGCTGTGCATTAAGTTGGCAGCTCTATATTCTGTTAATGTACATAGTTGTTTTATAACATTGGGCTTATCGATTATTCCAGGACTTAACAGCGACCGGTGTAACTATATTTAACTGTTGTTAACTTATTTTTTTAATAATAAACAATTAAATCGAATCGATTACAGTGAAACAAGATCTTATTTCATAAATTTTGTAGAATTTTTCGGAACGTTGCTAGAGCACGAAAACAATTAACAGCAGAGGCATTGCTGAGAGCGCTCCTAGTTAACAGCCAATGTTAATGTTGAATTATTACAGCTGTTATCACAGAACGAGAAGAGGAAGATTTAATTATTTTTGTTTTTCGACCCGTGTGTTTTTCTGTCCCTTTTTTTTCGTGTTGCATATTAAATAAAAAACGGCATATAAATAGAATTGACCCAAGTTAAAGAATCGCTGCAATGTCAGCCTTCACGGAATCCGCTCTTATCAAGAAACTATCCGAACTGAACCCCAGCCAGCAGAGCATACAAACATTGTCCTTATGGCTGATCCACCATCGGAAGCACCACACGGCCATAGTCCAGACCTGGCAGCGCGAATTGCAAAATGGTACGTAACAAGCGAGAAGAGAATGGGAATGGATTTATTACAGAAAATTATCTCTGCATGCAGTGCCGGAACCGAAGAAGCTAACGTTCATGTATCTGGCCAACGATGTTATACAGAATAGCAAAAAGAAGGGGCCCGAATATGGCAAGGAGTTCAGTAATGTGCTGCCCAAGGTGTTTAGCCATATTGGCGAAACCTGCAGCTCGGAGAAACTGCTGGGTAGTCTGGGACGTATTTTGAACATCTGGCAAGAGCGCGGCGTCTACGATCCCAAGGCGATTGCCGATTATCGGTCGCGCATGAATCGCGAGGGAGCTGCATCAACAGCGGCTGCGTCCAATGGCAGCAAGAGTGGCGGTGAATCAGCTGCGGGTCACAAGCACAACCACACCAGCAGCAGCAGCAGTAGCGGCAACAGCATCAGCAGCAGCAACAACAACAACAAGTCGGAGAAGTCCGAGAAACGCGAGAAACGTAAACATGAAGAGAGACACATGAAGTCGAAGCGACCACGTGCATCGCACCATCAAAGCATCAGCGTAGAGTCGCCTGTCGTTGAGCCCGAGAATGGACACACGCCTCCATACTTGCCATTGGGCGAACCGCCCGAGCCCGAAGAGCTAATCAAAGCGCTGACCAGTATTGAGAACTCGGCGTCAAGCGATGCGTTGGTGCGCGAACGCATCGCCAAGCTGCCGCCCGAAATATCTGAAATAAGCTGCATTAGCAAACTAGAGGATAAAGACAAGGCCAAGGTCTTGGCCAAACAGGTGCGTTCTATCTAATATCAACGGGCTTGGATTCATTTACTAAGGATTTGCATTTCTGTTTGTCCAGGTCAATGAGGCCGTTGAGCTGCTGAACGACTACAATGCGCGTCTGGCGGCTGAAATGGAGGAGCGCACCAAATTGGCAGCGATGCTGCGCGACTTTCAGGCGGAGCAGAAGGAGCTACTGGCCCAAGCGGAGCAGCGCTTGGATGTACGTTGTTAGCCAATTGTATATACAATACATATATGAAAGATAATCGCCCTTTGCTATGCATTAAATGTTCAATTCGCTCTATATCCCACTCATCCTCGATCGAATGTTCTCTGTGTACATATATTTGCAGGAGCACAAGAAGAAACTGGCCAAGATGATGAGTCTGCAAAAAGAGATACACGATCACTTGTCCAACTTGCCCGACCTGACGCAGCTGCCAGACGTTACAGGCGGCCTGGCACCGCTCCCCTCAGCCGGCGATCTCTTTAATACCCTACACTGAGCTGGACACCAACACGATTCGAAAATAAGCGCTGAGTCAAAGCCTAGATTTTTACATACTATACATATAGAAATATATTAAATACAATATAATGACTTCGTTAGCTTATGTATTTGCTCGTAATACCTTCAGCCACATTCAACAAAATAATAACAATTAATTGATTGCAATTAACATTTATTGACAGTTAAACTGAAAGCACATGCAATTATTTATGCGAGGGTCGACTGAGAAGTTTATGACGCTTTGGTTCTAGTGCATCACATAGTTGGCCACGCCCTGCCACTTCTCGACGAAGCCAATGATGTCCGTTACGCTGCTGGTCGGGGCCATTTTGACGGCCACCGCGAACTTGCTCCAGACATCGCGATTCACCTGGTTGCTGGAGGCGGAGAAGGTGACGGGCTGGCGGCCACGCACCGGATAGCCGCTGAGCAGACAGGGCAGATCGTTTGGACCCAAGCTGGACTCGTAGAGGCCGCGATCATCGTTGGGCAGCAGCTGATCCACCTGCTGGTCCATGCTGACGGCCAGCACCCATTCGCGCACCTCCTCGTGCAGACTGGGCTCGTTTTTGAGATGGATGTCCTCGGGCAGCGGCACGGAGCTCGGAAAATCGGTGGCTGCCAAATCCGAATGATCGACCAAATTGCCGGAGCCCTCCTCAATGGCCTCGCACACGTCCAAGTAGTGATTGAGCATGACGAAGGCCTCTGCCTCGCGACCCGCCTGCCGCAGCTCCATGCCCGCCTCGTAGAAGCCCTTGTCCACGGGCAGCACATCCGTGTGTCGCAGCAGCGCCAAGGAGAGACGCACGGCCACCGGATGCAGGGACTGCACCTGCTTGCAGGCGGCTCGCGTCGCATAGTAGTGGGCGATCAGCAGATACTGTTCGGCATTTGCCGCGAATTTGGACTGAGCGTGCTCCGAGCCGCGCAGCCCCTGCAGCAGGCCGTAGAGAAAGTCGCGCAGTCGCTGCCACACGGCTSCGCTCTCCGCCTGCTGCTCGCGCAGCGCCAGGCAATCGAGGGCGATGCGCGTGTAAATGTTGAAGTGCTCCTCGATGGGTGGCGCTCCGTAGCTGAGGTAGAGACCCAAGGCGGTGACGCTGTCGCCCTCGCGTATGAGCTGCGCTGCGTAGGCCGCCACGTACTTCTGCAGCACGGAGGGACTCAGCTGCTTGGCCTTCTCCAGGCAGCGCTGCCACTGGCCCTGCTCGGCCAGCAGATCCAGGGCGCTGATGATATCGATGTCCGCCAGCTGCTCCACGTTGCCCTCGTGCTTGAGCCGGGACTTCTGCTGCTGCTCCACGTAGGCCAGCAGCTCGGCGTCGATCTCCTTGGCCAGGCGGCGCGCCTTCGACCACTGTTCGGCGCGGATGAACACATCCACCGCCTGCTTGGGCATGTCGGCGGCCAGGTACAGCTGGGCAGCCGGCCCGATCTGCTTGATGGCCAGCAGACGCGGTCCCAGCGCCTGGGCGAGGTCCTGCGCATCCTGCCCCTCCAGAAACTGATTGACTATCTCTGCGGCACGCAGTAGGGCACGCTCCAGCGTGGCTGCATCCTCGGCATTGCTGGCGTCTATCTGCATCAGGCACTCGGCGGCCTTGCGGAATTGCTCCCGCTTGGCGAACTCGGCAGCTCGCTGGAGATAGGCGCGGGAGTCGGCGCCCGCATCCTCGCCCTGCGCCTGGCCCCGCTGCACTTGAGCCTGCAGCCGGCGCAGATCATTCAGGGCGGCCGGATAGTGCTCTTCAGCGATGCGCAGGGCGTCCTCGAAGAGCGCCTCCTGCTTGTAGTGTTCAATAATGAGATCGGGTCGCTGTGCGCGCAGCAGCAACATCTCGTAGTCCTGATAGTTGCGTGTCTCCAGCGCAGCGGAGGCCTGGCCAATGAGCACCTCGTTCACGGCATCCGGCAGATGCTGCTCGGCCACGTTGAGCGCCGCCTTCCAGTCGCCAGCATGCTGGTACATCAGTATGGCCTCCTTCGGCTTGTGCGCCTTCAGGAACTCCGCTTCGGCCTCCTCGAACTTGCCCTCGTCCTCCAGCGACATTGCTATCTTCAGGTGCACCTCGTCTGTGGGCTTGCCGGCAAAGCGGCACAGCTCCATGGCGAAGTCGAATTGGCCGGAGTCGCAGGCAAAGCCCACGGCCGTATCCAGCAGTCCCAGCTTGCTGAGCAGCCGCACTGCGCTCTCCACCGGCATGGACTTGGCCCACATGTAGGCCACCTGCTGGCTGGCGCCCTCGGTGCCCTTCTGCTTGGCCACGCGATAGCCATCCTCCCAGCGGGAGGAGGAGCAGTACATGTGCACAGCCGACTTCCAGTCGCCCGACGCGATGAAGTGCATCTCGGCATTCTTGAACTTGCCGCGCGACTCCAGCTGCCGCGCCAGATGCAGATGCGTGCTGTCCAGCAGATCCTTGTGGTAGCGCTCGACCAGTCGGATCATCGAGTCGTACAGCTCGCGGCGCTTATACATGGCTATGGCCAGATCGGGCTCATTGACAGCTATCAATACCTTCTCGGCATCCCGATACTTGGCCTGCTCCTCCAGGCTGCTGGCCAGCTGGACAAACAGTTCGCGCAGCTGATCCGCCTTCAGATACTTCTCGCCCAGCACATAGGCGCGCTCCCACTTGCCGTGTCGGTTGAGCAGCTCGATGGCATCCCTGTAGAGATTGGCGCGCACCAGCAAATCCTCAGCGCCATCCAGGTCGCCCGCGAAGGCCAAGTGCTTCGACAGATCCAGGGCATAGCGCTGTATCAGCTCAGGCTCGTCCAGCACCTTGGCTATCTGCACCGCCTTGCGCCACTGCTTGGCGCCCACCGCTGCCTCGAGAGCTTTTTGTGTGGCGCCCGCCTCAATGTAGTGGTTGATGGAGGCATCCAGCTGCTTGCGACCCACCAGCCAGTCGCCCCACTGCTCCTCCAGGGCGGTCACCTCCTGAGGGGCCACAACCCGGGCCAGCTCCAGCGCTCGGGCGAAGGCTCCGCCCTTGCGGTACAGCGCCAACGCCGCCTCTGGTCGGGAGAGGCGATGTGCAATGTCGCCGGCCAGCTCGTAGAGCTCGCTGTGCACCAGGCCCTCGGTTACCTGCAGCATCAGCTGCTCATCCTGCAGCAGCTGGGGCGTCTTTAGGGCCAGGCGGGCAGCGCGTGCCGGCTTGTTGGCCTTGAGGAACAGTGCCATGGCCTGCTCCAGTTGGCCCTCGTCCTCGAGCACTTGGCCCGCCTTCTCCTGCTGCTCGGTCTCGAGTAGGAAATCCATGTGCTGTTGGCGCAGCTCGGCCAGGCGCGCATAGCCACGCCGCTCTGCCAGGGCAACCGCCTCGTCCCACATCCTCAGCTGCTGGTACATGGCCAGGGCGGCTTCAATGTCGCCCTGCTCCAGGTAGATGCGCTCAGCTGCGCGCAAATCGGAGCCCAGCAAAGCCAACTTGGCCCTCACCTGCGGGCAGTGTATGCCCGGATTACCCGTAGTCTCCTCGTAGTTATCCGCTTCCCGTATCATCTCGGTCAGATAGTAGGCCTTGGACACGTTCCCCAGAGCCGCATAGCAACGCTGAGCCACGCGCAGATTGCCCTCCTCCAGTGATATGATGGCCAGGTTGTGCCACATGGCCTTGGCCGCCGGCTTGTCGCCCAGGGACTCCAGGAAGTGCACGGCCCGGCCGAAGTCGTTGTCATTGACAGCTGTGCCAAACTCGACGAGCCCCTCGTCCAGCTGGTAGCTGTGCTCGCTGGGTCCGTCCTGAGTGCGTACCACAGTGCGACCCTAAGGGAGGAGACGAAGGAGAAATGAAATTAAAGCCTGACTATGACTATGAGTAGGATATCAAAGGGAGTAGGAGGAGTCCTTACATTCTCGCGCAGCACCTCGATAGCCTCGCCGCGTATGCTCTGCATGGTCACATGCTCGGGCAGATCGATGTTATACCAGATGGCCAGATTGCTGTTGCTCTGGGCCACCACCACGTCGCTCTGCGGCACCCACTGGACAAAGGAGATGTTGCTCAGGAGCGTCTGCTTCTTGCCGTTGTAATTGTCGACGAGTATCAGGCGCAGCTTTTTATCACGGAAGAGCAGCTTGTGCGCCGTCTCGCTCAGCTCGAGCCAGTCGATCTTGGTCTCGTGATTGATCTGCCCGATGATCTGCTGGCTGACCAGGTCAACCACACAGATGGTCTTGGCGTCCAGCAGAAAGGCCAGTTTCTTGTTCTCGCGTCCATTGCCGCGTTCATTGAGCCGCACTGAGATCACATGGGGATTGACGAACTCCGTGCGCACCGAGCCCAAAATGCGATTGTCACCGTATTCGACAAGGCTCAGCTCGCCCACGTTGAAGATCAGGCAGACATTCAGATTCTCGAAGTAGAAGCGCTCGTGCCTGCCCGACGCCGTCCACGGCACCTCGCTGGTCAGATTGCGCGTGAGGTCGCACAGGATGAGCGACTCCTCGGTGCGGCCCACTAGGAAATTATCCTTGCCCATGATGCGCACATCATCGATCTCCAGGCCCAACTGAGACTCGATCGTCAGCTGCTGCGTGGGCTCTGCCAGTGAACGCACCAGCAGCTGACTGGGCGCCACAAAGATCAGCTCGAACTTGTCCTGCCAAATGGTGCGCTTCAGCACCGACTCGTACAACAGCACAGCGCCGCTGACCGAGCCCAAGGCGAGGCGAGCGCCGTCTCTGCGCCAGATCAGCGCGCTCAGCGTGTACAGGCAGCTGATCTCCTTGCTGGCGCTCTCGCTCCAGGCGCTCTGGCGCGGACTCCAGGCAAAGATTCGTATGCGGTCGTAACTGCCGAAGGCAACAGCCTGACCGTTCGGACTGCTCGCGGCTACAGTGAACTCTCGCTCGCCCTCGGTGCGGGAGAAGTCGAAGCAGCGCTGCTGACGGCCCTGGAAGTGAGTGGGAGAGAGAGTGAGAAAGATATAGAGTTGATAAGTAAAAAAAGAGAGAGAGAGAGAGAGAGAGAGAGCAATGAAAGAAAAAGAGATTGACTTAGCTATTTCCTTCTCTAGTGCACTCCCACCTCAGTCGTCTCTTTCCCACTTCCTCTACCCTTGACCCCTTACCATGCTATCATAAAACACAATGCGCTGATCACAGCCAGCGGCACAGAAGCCGCCCTGCGGCCAAGCGAGCGCAAAGGGTGGCACAGGATGCTGCACCACGCGGCCCAGTGGCTCGCTGACCTCCTCGGTCAGGTAGTAGCGTATGATGGTGCCGTCGTTGTGGCCGCTGAGGAAACCATTGCCCTTGGTATTGGCGGCCAGCGAGATGCAGATGCTGTCGCCGCCATAAAGGCTCTGGGACTTGTTGCTCTTGCAGTGCAGGGCGCGCACTTTGCCATCCTCAAGGCCTGCCAAGAGAGAGGGAGACAGAGACAGAGATAGAGAGATGAGATTAGATTAGATTAGATTCTTATTAGAGTCTGTCATTCACTTACCCGCTACAATGGCTCCGGTTGTGAGCCAGATGAGCGCCGTGACGGCGCCTGCTTGGGGAAACTTATTGCAGATGACCTTCTTGTCGTTCCAGGACTCGCCCAGCTTGTAGACATACACAATGCAGTCGCTCTGGCCCACGGCCAGCTTGGTGGAGTCCGGGCTGAAGGCCAGGCCGCGTATGACATAGGAGTTTTTGCCGTTGGCCGGATTCGCTGGCTTCGTACTGAACTTGTCCCGCCGCTCGCCCGCATCGTCGTAGAGCAGAATGTGCCGATCGGCGGTGGCTATGGCCAGCTTCTGCTGGTTGGGCGACCAGGCGAGGCCCGCCACACGCTGGATTTGCTCCTGGGGGTGAAAGATGAGAGTTTCGCTTGGTTAAAGGGGATGCCCTCTGATCTCACCTGCCCCTCAAGCAGAGTTCGCAAATATTTTAACTGCATTGCTTGGAAAATTTCGCTTGAATCTCTCTGAATTGCTCAAATTGCAGTCTTTAGTTTTTCAGTTGATAGTCCTTTCTGTGCGCGTTTTTCAGCTTGTTTTGGCCAACAGTTGTCAAGGCAACGTAGTCTACGTTGTTGCTGCTTCCGTTTTGCGCCTGCCATTCTAAATAAATGGCTTTTGTTTTGAAATGCAGCAGGTGCCGGGCATGACACAGGATGTGGGACAGCGTCTAAAGCTGTATCAGGGGTTGCTTTTGTTGCTCTTGTTGTTGTTGCCAAACATGATAATGTCAGCATTGACGCTGGCGTCGCTGCCAAAGCTGTTGCTTGCTTTGCAGCCACGACGGCAGCTCAGCCTGTTGGCCTAGTCCTGGCAGTAGCAGCAGCAGCAGCAGCAGCAGCAGCAACAGCTCAAAGGGGCGCATGTGTGCGAGAGAGCGCAGAGAGTGCTTCAATTCATACAGGTGTGTTGAGCCAAATGACTGAGGCAGCGGGCGGCAGAGAAAGTCTGAGCGAGCGAGTGACAGAGAGGGCCTATGAGGGAGGATTCCATACGAAATAGGCATAAATGCAGCTCTAGCGGCAAATGTGCGTGGGTTTGTGTACAGACTAGTAGAGAATATTATAAGTATGATTATAAGACTATAATGCCACTGCTTGACAGTTTTTAAATTATTTCTTTAATTCAGCAATCTTTTCTTAGATCAGTTTAAACTCTTTGAATTCATCTAAATATTATCTTAAGAGAAATTCCTCACTTAACGCTCAGCGAAGACTGAGCTGCACTAAGCACACATATATGCAAAGGTTTGTGTACCGACTAAAGTGTATAAGAGCACTTTGTACAAATAATTGCTGTGTATAAAACAAGTATAAGACTGTAATTCAACTGCTTGCCCATCAGTATTATATCCTGCACTGCTTTATTAACTGCCGTCCCGCTTAAGCTATTCACCTTTTTCGGATTTATTTAAGCTTTACCAAAAACTTTCCCCAGTTGCCGCTCAGCAAAGCTTTGCGTTACGCTCTCGTCTCTATTCGTGCTCGTCTCTCTTCGTGCCAGCAGAGCCTCGTGCATGGCTCGTGCCCCAACGTCGGCTAGGTTGGCCAAGTCGTTGAGTCTAAACGTGCCACCATTGGGGACTATGGACTCGCGAATGAAGTGCGAGCCGGCCAGGCCAAGCCAGGCCAGAAGTCGGTCTGGTATAGGCTAATGTATGGCAACGCATTGTGGCAGGTCAAAGCGCGCGATGCTGTCTAGGCCTGCCTGGCCAGTACTCTACCCTGTTGGAATGTGTGCGTGTGTGTGGGTGTGTGTGTGTGTGTGGATGTTAGCGCCTGGCATCCCTTTAATGAGTTTCATTAATTAAAGCTACTTTGTAAGCAGCGGCTTGCTCCTGGCTGTTGTTGCGGCTGTTAGTACAGCTGCTGCTAGTATAACAGTTGTCTGTCCGTGTATGTGTGTGTGGGTGTGCTTAAGTAAACATGCAACATGAATTTCGTCCTTGACTTTTAATGGGTTTATGACAAAAACGTTGCTAACCACCACAGCCATTGCCAGGGCCATGATCCGCAGCTAATGTGCAGGGCGCACTTTATTGTCGCTGATTTTGCAGCCCCATGTGTGTAACTTCCCACTCTCTCTCTCTCTCTCCCTCTCTATGTGTTTGTGTGTGCGTGGATAACAGAGTTGTTAAAGCGGACGTCTGCCGGAAGCTCTTGTGGGTGCCATTTTTTTGCTTCTGTTTCATGCTGCATGCGCCGCACGCCATTTTTATTTCTATATGTATGCTTAAAACCTTAAACCCTAGCCAGACTTTTGTCTTCTTCTCAAAACTTGTGCCATTGCTCCTGCCCTTGCAGCGTGTCCGCATCCGCCTCCGCATCCGCATCCCCATTGTCTGTCATTGTTTTAGCTGGTTTTTTTTCCGCGCTACGCGGTCTGCCTGAAGCAAAGCATTCGCCATTTCCTGGCCAGCAGGATTCGGTGACTCGTGCTGCTTTGGGTTTTGATGCTTGTTAATGCAGTGAGTGGAGTATATTAGCTTTTGTGTACAATAAGTCTTTCAGTCTGAAGCTAGAGAGATAGAGAGAAGTAGAACTAGATCAGTGAGAATATTTACAGCTTTAACGAGTATTCTCCCGTCAGCTACTCCCGATGTGTTCTCTGTTTTGGCATTCGTCGACTTATTATTTATGTGCTGGAGTCAAGATACTTTGCATTTATGTATTAAGAGGCGACAGTGGTATATGCGCACTTATTCAAAAATGCATTTGCAGCTGGTATCCATTAAAGGATTTTCCACTTGCGACCGCTAAAATGCGCTAATTCGGCTATAAGCAACAATCTGGTTAAAACTCACAAACAGGCGCCAGTTAAAATCTGAGCACTGCAAGGCGAAACTTTTCGTTTCAACTTTCACGCACACAAACACACACATAGAGAGAGAGAGAGAAAGAAAGTGAACTTTCAGCCAGCAAACTACAAAAAACTCTGTATATTCACGAGTGTGTGTGTGAGAGAGAGTGAGAGTGGGAGTGAATAAACGAACTAAAGTAAATGTAACAAAATATATAATAATAATAAAAATGCAAGAAAAGCGCTGGAAAAGCGTTGCAGGAAGTGCGCGAAAAATAACAGCCATTGCGAGTGCTATGCATAATGAATAACATTTTCAAATTAGTTTCCGGTCAGTGGAGATTTTAACGCGGCCTGTCGAGCGCAACGGGTAATGCCAACAGCTCGCTGTGTCTGTGTGTGTGTGTGTGTGTGTGCTTGTATGTGTGCAGTAGGTGCATTATAGCATTTTTGTAATTCAATGCAAAGTAGTTCTTTTTTTTTTTATAAAACAAAGCAAAAGCATACAAGCTGACAGACAGAGAGCAACAATCAGATTGATTGCCAGCAAGCAGAGTAGACTAGCAAATACCCTGACTACTTTGGCCATTATTCTTAGCTGTTACTATATGAATAAGTAATAATAACAATAAAATTAATTTTTCTGTTTGAGTTCACATAGAGGAAAATAAATATGGATATACATACAAACATAGCTCAATCATCTCAGCTCTTGATCCTTAACTAAATTCTAAATTTCCCCCATCACATAATACCCTATTTCCACATAGAAGAGTATGCTTGCTTCAGTTTAAGCTCAGCTTTATATTAAGTCAAAAGCCGGACAGACAGACAGACACTTGTGAAATATGCGAGCTAATGAAATCAAAATATGAGTCGCCCAGGAATTGCCACAACAAATGCAAAATAATCACCTAGGAGAGCCGAGTCCGCGAAATCCCAGCGGTTTGACAATTGGCTAACAGCATTAACGATTGCAGCATCCTTGACTGCAGCCGGTAGCTAGTCAGCCAACCTTCCAGCCATCCGGCCACTCAGCCATCCAGCATCCAGCATTCAGCTGTGAGCAGTGAGCATTGTGAACTGCCTGCGTTTGCCGTCAAAAGATGATGCAATCGTTTTGTTGGCTCGAGGGCAACATTTATGGCTCAGCTAGCGGGCTAACTGGCGTACACTTTTAGCCAAATGAAATGTGGCACAAAGGCCTTTGGCCGTGAATGCATAAATTTTAACGGCCAGCAACTTCTTTAAGAATCTAAAACACGCACAAAGCTAATTATGTGAATGCTGGAGGGTGTACTTAAAGTTTATATAATCTATCTCTCCATCTCTCTCTCCATCTCTCTGCCTATCTCACTGTCTGTCTCTCAGCTGGAATGAAGTAGGGCGAACAATTCTTTAAATTTATGGTAATAAGCAGGGATACCAAGGTAAGAGAAAAGCTTTGTTAACACAATAGTGTAAAATGCTGAATAGCAATTATAATATATAACACAAAAAATAGCTCCTCAGCTCAAGATATTCAATTTGCAGCTTAGTGGATAGCGAAGCAGATCTTTTTAAATTTATTTTTTAGATAATGATTAACTAACGAAATTTTTATTTTATTTTCTTGTTGAATTTAATCCGCAAGTAGTCGAAGCTGTCAGGATTTCAAGATAAATTATAAAAATAAAATAAAAATAATTTGTAGACTATCAAGCCTAATTTGTATTCAAGCTTAGCGGTTGAAAGAATTATTTATTCTCTCCAAGTTCCCATTTAAATTATAAATAAATCTTTACTTGTCAGCCAGCTTTGATGTGCACAATATATTGAATAGAGATTTTCTATCTCTTTCATTTCCACAACAAATATTTTCATTTATTAAACTTATATTTATTTTATCTCTAAGCTCTGAATTTCTACCAGCAACAAGTTTCCATTCAATATTCTGATGTGTGGTCTGATTATTGTTTCTCATGTTCTTCAGATAGTTGGGGATTTGCTATGGCTATAAAGGACACAGGACACTTTTTTTTTCCAATCTGCCACTCTCCAATATATAAATATAGTATATACATAGCATATATCTAAATTTATTTCGACTACACGACTAGTCGCAATAGCTTCGAAATGGATTTGGGTGGATATTGAATAATGAAGGAACAGCAAGACCTTTTTTAAAATACGACAATATTGCCTTAAAACTCATCTTTATCTTTTTTTCTCTCAGCTGAAGGGACGCAGAACTTTAAATTTATGATAATAAGGTCGGCATAAAAAACAAGCGATGCTAAAAATGGCTTGAGATTGATATGCTAAAAAAAGACTAGAAAAGCAGAGAGATATATAAATAAATAAATAGATGCATACATATACATATATAAATATACATACATATATACCAAAAGGCAAGTTGTGGTCAAATGATGATTTAAAATTTGCAAAGCTCTGCAAATCCAATGAATATACTAAAAAATATTTAATTTTTAATAAT